TGTTGCTAGATGTTATCTATAGTTGAGTATGACTCAGAGTGACCCTATAAACAGATATGAACCCTGTCTTATCACCATCTCTGTCATACTTGAGCCTATTACTGCAGTCACTGTTTCACCTAAGAGTCTCTTTCACAGGCATGATTTTTCTTTCCAAAGAATAGCCTCTCTGTTGTAAAGAAGGATCAGTCTTTGGAGAGAGACATTATGCTGGGTAGGGTGGAGGGACAGCTCAAGAGAGGAAGACCCTGGATGAAATGGACCGACTCAGTGACTAGGGTAATGGGGGTAGGTGTGTCAGAGATGATTAGGTTGGCTCAGGATAGAGCAGGGATCAGAGCTACTGTACATAGGGTCGCTATGATTTGTAGGCAACAGCATTGGCCTAGTGGGTGAGAAGTTGTACTACCAACCCAAAAGTCAGCAGTTTGAATCCACTAACAACTATGAGGGGGAAAAGATGAGCAGTCTCTTTCTGTGCTATTTATATCCTCCAAAAACCCACTGGAAGGCTGTTAAGAGTCAGTTGTGGCTCCACAGCAATGAACAACATTTCTGAAAAGAAATGATACCCCAAAGGTCAACTGGATGAGGATTTTTCTCAAAATTCTGATGCAAAGAGATAGAAATTAACAAAGAAAAAAAATCAGAGGAACGTTCGTTCACTCACTGCGATCACATCACAACCAACCCCTGGTTGAATCTCTGGTGGGTTTTTGGAGACTGTAGATTGCATGGAAGGAGACTGCTCATCTCCCAAAGAGTGGCTGTTGGATTTGAACAGCGAGACAGACACTGCCTTTGGTTTAGTAGCACAACTCCCTACGGGTTGAGCCATCACAGAAAAGACAAAATTTATAGGCAAAGTGATTGATGAGCAGGCTGCCTATGATAAGGGAAAGTAAAATGGACTGGGGGTGGGAGGATTGTACAACAACGAAAGAATGTTTTTTCAAAGAGAAAAGCGAACTGGTGTGGGCAGGGAGGAAAATGTGCAATATGAATGAATGGAAATCCAAGTTCTCTATAAACTTTCATTAAAATGTCAATTAACAAAAAAACTATGAGATATCATCTCACTCCAGTAAGAATAGCAAAATGTAACAGAACAGCAATCAATAAACGCTGGCGAGATTGTGGAGAAACTGGAACCCTTATTCACTGTTGGTGGGAGTGTAAGATGGTGCAACCACTCTGGAAGGCAGTATAGCACTTTCTGAAAAAGCTGGAAATAGAAATACCATTTGACCTAGCAATTCCACCACTGGGAATATACCCTAAAGAGACCATAACCAACATCCAAGCAGATATATGCACACCTATGTTTATCGCGGCTTTGTTCACAATAGCAAGGAGTTGGAAACAACCCAAGTGCCCATCAACAAACGAATGGATGGAGAAGCTGTGGTATATTCACACAATGGAATACTATGCTGCATTGAAAAAACAAGGAACTCATGCAATATTATTCAAAATGGGTGACTGTGTAGGACATTATGCTGAGTGAAATATCTCAGTCACAAAAGGACAAATACTGAATGGTGCCACAGTTGTAGAATGGGACTGACATCAGGGTTGGGGTAAGACTGAGAAAAACTGCATAAATTATGTATACTGCATTGAAACAGATGAGAGGGAGAACAGTTTAAAAGCAATATATGATAGGGTATTAGGGTTATCACAAGAGTCCAGAATGAAGGTTGCATAGTGGCATGTACTCCGGGTGGGGGTGGGGGGCGGGGCAGGTGGATTGTATACCAAGGAAGGAATTTTTCTTTTACTTTAAAAGAGAAGTGCAAACTGGAGGGGACAGGTGGGCAGGGAGAAAAGTACAACAATGAATGGATGGAAATCCAAAATCTCTGTAAATGTTCATTAAAATTAATAAAATAAAATTTAAAAATTCCAATTAAAAAATAATGATAAAAAAAGGAATAGCCTCTCCTAACAATGTGCTCCAAGTATATGAGACACAGCTTTGCTATCCCTGCCTCCAAGGAGGACTCTGGCTGTACTTTCCCCAAGAAATATTTTATTTGTTCTTCTGACAGTCCATAGGATACTCTGCACTCATCTCCAACATCACAGCTCAAAGGCATCAATAGAAATTTTTAAATGAGAACCTAATTTGCAGCATAATTTTTCATGAGAAACACAACAAAGTATTGTATTTGTAAAAAAAAAATCATCTCTATGCTGAAGTTATTAAAATATGGCATTTAGACAACTGAGGAGACATGGTGGTGCAAGTTAGTTTAAGCACTTGTTTGCAAACTGAAAAGTCATAGATTCACACCTACCAGCTACTTGCTGTGAACATTTATGACCTTGGAAATCTTACAGAGCAGTTCTACTCTACCCTACAGGGTTGCTAACTACAGACATTGACTCGATGGCAGTGGATTTGGTCTTACTGGTATAACTAAGTGCACATAAATGCAGAATAATAAAGCTCAATCTCAGCTGAATTTAAAAACCATCTCATCGAATTGATGAACACTAAGAATTGAAGACTAGATGAACTATGAGATGTCATCAAGGACATCATACACAAAATAAAAGTTCATTGCAAATAAAGGAAAGAGAAAATACCAAAATGGCTGTCAGAAGAGACTCTGAAACACTAGAATATAGAGAAGCAAAAACAAAGGGAAGAAATGTTAAAGAGATATGAACAGAATATTTCAAAGGGAAGCTTAAGAAGACAAAGTATTATAAAAATGCATAAAGAACTGGAGTTTAAAAACCTACAGGGTAGAAAATGCTCAGCAATTCTCAAACTAAAAAAACCTGAAAAACAAATTCAAGCCTTGAGTTGCAATACTGAAGGATTCCATAGGTAAAATCTTAATGAAGCAGGGAGCATCAAGAAAAGATGGAAGAAACACAGAATCACTGTATCAAAAAGAATTGTTCAACATTTCAGGAAGCAGCATATGGCCAAGAACTAATGATAACAAAGGAAGAAGTTCAAGCTGCACTGAAGGCATTGAAAAAAAATCAGGATCCAGGAACTGATGGAAGAGTAACTTACATATTTAAACAAACACATACAGCCCTGGATATACTTACTAGACTATGCCAAGAAATCTGGAAGAAAACTACCTGGCCAAATGGCCAAAAGAGATTCATATTTGTTTTCATTAGAAAAAAGGATATCCAAAAGCATGTGGAAAGTATAAAATAGCATCAGTAATATTACATGCAAGCAAAATCCTGTTGAAGATTATTAAAAAACAGCTAGAACAATACATTGGCAGAAACTGCCAGAAATTCAAGCTGGATTCAAAAGAGGTCAAGGAATGTGGGATAATACTGCTGATTTCTGATGGATTTAGGATAAAAGAAGAGAATACCAGAAGGATGTTTCCTTGTGTTTTATCGACTACGCAAAGGAATTTGACTATGTGGATCATAAAAAAAACTATGGCTAACATTGAAAATAATGGAAATCTGGAGGGGAGGGAGGGCTGGACGGGGAGAGAAATGCAGCAATGAATGAACGGAAATCCAAAATCTCTGTAAATGTTCATTAAAATTATTAAAATTTTTAAAAATTTAAAAAAGAATGGAAATCCTAGAACAAGTAATTGTTCTCATGTGAAACCTATACAAAGCTTAAGAAGCCGTTGGAGCAGAACAAGGGAACACAGCACGGTTAAAAATCAGAAAAGGTGTGTTTCAGGGTTGTATTCTTTCTCCATACCTGTTCAATCTGTATGCTGTGCAAATAATTTGAGAAGCTGGACTCAGAAGAAGAAAGTGGCATCAGGATCAGAGAGAGACTCATTAACAACCTGTGCTATGCAGATGGCACAACCTAGTTTTCTGAAAGCAAAGAGGACTCTAAACATTCAATGCAGAAGACCAAAGACTGTGGACTTCCCTATGGATTATGATTTAACATAAAAAAAACCCAAACACAACAAACAATTCTCACCACTGGACTAACAGGCAACCTCATGATAGATGAAGAGATTGAAGTTGGCCAACAATTTTCTTTTACTTAGATCCACAATCAACACCCATAGTAACAGCAGTCAAGATATCAGAAGATGGTGCACTGAGAAAATATGCTGTCGGCATCTCTATAAAGTGCTAAAGGGCAAGAATGTCAGCTTAAAGATTAAGGTGGACCCGATATAACCCACAATATTTGCAATTGCTTCCTATGCATCAGCAAATTCAACAACGAATAAGGATGACAAAATAAAGCTGCCTTTTAACTGTGGTGCTGATGAAGAATACTAAATGGCCCATGGACTGCCAGAAAAAACAAATCTTAGAGGCAATATTTCCTAGAGGCAAGGATGGTAAAACTTTGTCTCTCATATTTTGGGCATGTTGTCAGAACAGATCAGTCTTGAGAAAAAGGCATTATATTGGGAAAGGTGGAAGGTCAGAGAAAGAGCAGTAATAAGACTTGATAATAACAACAAAGATAAAACTTCTCATATTAGAATAGTTACTAGAAGAACTTTAGCATGAAAATAAAGCTAAAGGTGAGGTAAATCCTTCAGGGTACACACTACAGTTCTTCCTCCCTTCTTCCCTCATGTTTGTTTTAAGCAGCAGGACCAGTTTATGTAATAGCAAGTCATTTGGTCCAATGCTGACATAAATGAACAATTCAACACTAAATATGGGATGCCAAGGAATAAAACTAGGGTTAAAATTCATTGTATTATACAATACTACATAATTTTTTCCCTTGCCTCTAAGAAACATGCTACTCCAGACTGATTATTGGTCAAACCTTCTCAACCTTTTCATTCACACTCTCAAGAACAGGGGCCAAGTGGGGCACTGAAAAGGCTCTAAACTTAAAGATTGACTGGAAATAGATCTACTGTCACCTATGCTGCAGTATACACGGTCATATAGTCTTGCTTGCCTTTTTAATATTAAATGAACCTTGCAGGAGGCTAAGCAATGTATATTCTATTAAGTGATGGATTTAAGTATAATCAAAAGATCATACCTTTCTTTAAAGGGTTTGGTCAACAGAAGGTATTCAGAGTGCTTTCTTGACCAGGACTGTTAAATCCTTCTATCAGGTTTTTGTTGCAGTCATCCAGGCTGAGATTCTCACTGGATCTCTTAGAGAATGCAGGGGGACCAGTGAAATCTAAGAGATCTTGAAGTGCTCGGGCATTACCAGTTCCATTTTGGTCCAGAGACCCCCCAGGAATCATTTCACTCACTGGTGAAAATTCTGGGATGGAGATAAGCTCTTCTTTTGAAACAGGACTAGAAGAAATGAGAGGGAGAGAGAGAGAACAAGAAATAAGCACATTCTGGAACCTTTGAGGCTGAATGAATTCCTGAAACTATTGCCCTGAGACCATCTTTAAACCTTTTTTTTTGTTTTGTTTTTTGTTTGTTTTTGCTTTTGTTTTTTTATTATTAAATTTTATTCGTTTTAATGAACATTTATAGAGATTTTGGGTTTTCATTCATTCATTGTTGCACTGTTTTTTCCACCCTCCTCCCCAGTTCGTTCTTCTCCCCCCGCCAATGTCTGTTTTAACTGTCCAATTGCCACAGTGCTTGTCAAAGCCAGTTCTGATTAATCTCCTTTGTCAGTGTGTCCCTTGCCATTCCCTATCACTCCTCCCTGAGAGAGACTTCACCCTGATTCATAAGGAAAAGGGGATGGCGTATTCTCTTAGCTACTTCCTGCTGAAAAGGGACGTTGTGGGTTTCAGGGTGAATGTCTTCTCTCACTACTCTAAAGGGCCCCCTTGGCAGTAGGAAACACATAGACTATTATGGAGATTGATTTTGGAATTTAGATGCACTGTTATCAATTGTGCTTAGCTATACATGTTCATATCCTTGAAGATGTATCATGGAAGAGTTGCAGCCTAGAAGATACAAGTTTAACTAACAAGTTAAAAGTACATGAATCAAAAATTGAAAAGCAATAATATTCTGAGTAGAGGTTCTAACAGTGGCACAAATCAAGTTACAGAGGTAAGGTGGTTCCATTGCCATCCTTACTCTAACTTAATTCTTTTTTTTTAATTTAAATTTATTATTAATTTCAGTGAAAATTTACAGAGGCTTTGGATTTCCATTCATTCATTGTTGTAGATTTGTCCCCTCCCAAGGCTCCCCCCCACTAAACATTACCCTCTTGGAAAAGTAAAAGAAAAGATTCTTTCATTATTTTACAAACCCTCCCCCAGGTCCACTCCACCATGTAGCCATTGCTCTAGACCCCTGTCATGACAGAAATACCTAATCACATATCTCTTTTAAACAGTTTTCTCCCTTCTCTGTTTCAGTGCAGTATACATTATTGAACCCATCTTACTCAGTCTCTCCCCAACCCCAAGGACAGTCCCATTCTACAACAGTGGCACCATGCAATATTTGCCCCTTTGTGACTGGGACATTTCATTCAGCATAATGTTCTCCAGAGTCAACCATTTTGAGTAATATTGCATGAGTTCCTTGTTTTTTAATGCAGCATAGTATTCCACTGTGTGAATACACCACAGCTTCTCTAGCCATTCGTTTGCTGATGGACACTTAGGTTGTTTCCAACTCCTTGCTATTGTGAACAAAGCTGCAATAAACATGGGTGTGCACATCTTTAAACCTTGAGCCAAAAGTATTCCTTGAGACATCTTAAAACCAAACAACAGTTTAGCCTTGATGACTACTATGGAAAACTATGTACTTCTTTAAAAAAATCTAGAAATATAAATACTACAATCTAGCAATCACACTCCTACTTATATATTCTTTAGAATTAGAAGCATTGACACAAACAGACATACACAAACATTATGTCTTACAGTATTACTCACAATACAAAAAACCTGGCAGTCTTTGAGAGAAGAGTGGCACCAGTTAGAGGTGGCCTGTCATGACTGGGGAGGGGGGCAAATACTGACAGTCCTATTTTGTTTCTTCATGGGGCTTGCTCTACTGGCTCGAGAGGATCCACTAAGTTAAGCCCAGAGTGAGACAAGGCAGGATATTTACAATCAGTTTCCTGCAGGTTAAGAGTCTGCAGACTAAACTAAGAACATCTCTCAAGGAGGTAAAGTGAAGCTTTGGCAGGCTGGAGCACTGGCTCAGGATAAACAGAATACTGCAATATTCAGAAGAAACCAGGATACTCAATGCCCTAGCTTCTCCCCAAACCTATACTGAGCTCTCCATTTGTCTGAGATTAACCTTCCAATTGATATGAATCACAAACATGGTATTAGTTCAAGAATTGTTTTTAGGATCTTGAGTCTCTAGCAACAAGTTTATATAAATATGAGACCCTGGACACAGCGGAGTCTCTAGGTACCTGCCAAGATCCGCTTTGCCCACGTGTGTACTACAATCGAGCTGCTGAGAGAGTTGGCTGCTAAAGGCTCACAGTTACTATTCTGCCACTCTTTATTGAGAGGACTGTTGGGTGACTCTATGTCCTGGCAGTGAACTTGAAGCTCATACCCTGGGTGGTTGCTGTTGTGTCCTATTGAATCAGAACTGACTCATAGCTGCCCCACCAGCAGGTTTTCAGAGCCGGTAAATTGCAAACCAAAGAAAATTCCCTCCATTCTCCCATTGAGCAGCTGGCAGATTTGAAATGTCTCTGGTTTGGCAGAGTAATTTCTTACACATTAAGCCACCACAACTCCCTCTACCCTGGGTAGCCCACAGTCAATGACTGACAGATACACTGGTACAAAGGTACCTCCCCCATGTCACAAGGACAACTCTATGATAGAAATTGATTTTCCAAAGCCTGTAGGACCAACTGAAGTCACATCCTTCCTTAATGCCTTCCCCTGGCCTCCCACCTCAGCTTTTTCCTGAGAAATGGCTCCCAGTAATTCACATGCCTTAGACTCTCTGATCCAACACCTGAACAGGCCCATTACAAAAGAAGAAATTGAAAGGGTAATAAAACAACTTCCAGCCAAAAATGCCCTGGACCAGATGGTTTTACAAGTGAATCTTATCAAACATTCAGAGAAGAACTGTCACCAATTCTATAGAAACTATTTCAGAAAATAGAAAAAGATGGAATTCTCCCAGATGCATTCTATGAAGCAAACATATCCTTGATACCAAAACAGGTATCTCTCAGGAACACAGATGGAAAAATCCTAAATAAAATCCTGGCCAACAAAAACCAATGATACATCAAAAAAAAAATAATTCACAATGACCAACTGGGATTTATAATAAGTATGCAAGGATGGTCCAACATAAGAAAAACAATTGGTATAATTCATCATATTAACAAAGCAAAGAACAAGAACCAAATTATCCTGTCAATTGATGCAGAAAAAGCCTCTGACAAAACACCCTTTTTTTCTGATTAAAACACACAACAAAATAGGAATAGAAGGGAATTTCCTCAACATAGTAAAAAGTATATACGCAAATCCGAAAGCCAACATTGTTCTCAGTGGAGAGAAGTTAAAGGCATTCCCCTTGAGAACATGAACTAGACAAGGATACCCACTATCACCTCTCCTATTCAATATTGTATTAGAAGTCTTAGCAGTACCAATAAGACAAGAGAAGGAAATAAGAGGTATCCAAACACAAAAGATTTATTCAAAGAAAATTACAAAACATTACTAGAAGAAACAAAAAGAGACCTAGAGAAATGGAAGAATATCACTTGTCATGGATAGGAAGACTCAATATTGTGAAAATGACAATACTACCAAAGTCAATCTACACGTTCAATGAAATCCCAATACAAATACCAATTCCATTCTTCAACGAGATGAAAAAGGCATTATCATTTGAAATGGAAGAGGCCTCAAATAAGCAAAGAACTCCTTAAAAAGAGAAACAAGGTAGGAGGCACCTCACTCCCAGATTTCAAATCCTACTAAAGTTCTGTGGTGGTCAAGACAGTGTGGTACTGGTACAATGACAGACACACAGATCAATGGAATAGAACTGAGAACCCAGAAAACAGCCCATCTACAAGATGAAATTAGTAAAGTGGGGAAATGACAGCCTTTTTTTTAAATAAGACATAGTTTATTTTCCTTTTTTCTCCCTTCAGTTAATCAAAATCCAGCAGAGATGACAAACATTTGGAAAGAATAAACACTGAGGATATAAAGTAACTTTGAATTATTATTATTTTTATAGAGGTGGTAAAAATTCCCTTGTGCATTGCTACAGTACTTTTTAAAAAATTTATTCATTTCTCATTTCAATGAACATCAAGAGAGATTTTGGAATTCCATTCATTCATTGTTGCACCCTTCTCCCCGCCCACCCCTATGGTGCTGGCAATATTGGAAAAGCATCTGCAGCAAACTCAAACAAGACTCACACCTCACACCATACACAAAACCCAACTCAAAGTGGATCAAGGACCTAGGACTAAAACCAAGGACTATAAATGTCATTAGAGAAAAGCTTGGAAGAACCCTAAAATAACTAATTCGCAACTTGAACAGTCTTCCAAGCATTCTGAAAAACCCACAACCAGGAGAGGATAAAATAGATGAATGGGTCTTTCAAAGAATCAAATCCCTATGTACATACAAAAACTTCTCCAACAGGGTAAAAAAGGAAGTCACAAACTGGGGGAAAAATTTCATAATGCCATGTCTGATAAGGAATTTAAAGAATACTCAAACACCACAAGATAAACAACCTAATTGCAAAATGGGCACAGGATATGAACAGACACTTCACCAAAGAACAACATTCAGATGGCCAACAAACACATGAAGAAATGTTCAAAATCCCTAGCTCTAAGAGAGATGCAAATTACAACAATTATGAGATATCATCTCACCCCAGTAAGAATAGCAAAATTTAACAAAACAGAAGACATCAAATGCTGGCGAGGTTGTGGAGAAAGTGGAACCCCTATTCACTAGTGGTGGGAGCGTGAAATGGTGCAACTACTGTGGAAGGCAGTATGGTGCTTTCTCAAAAAGTGAGAAATATCATTTGACCTAGCAATTCCATTACTGAGAATACACCCTAAAGAAACCAGAACTGCTACCCAAGCAGATAGATATGTGCACACCCTTGTTTATTGCTGCTTTGTTCACAATACCAAAGAGTTGGAAACAACCCAAGTGCCCATCAACAAACGAATGGATTGAGAAGCTGTGGTATTCACACAATGGAATATTATGCAGCACTGAAAAACAAAGAACTCATTAAATAGTATACAAAATGGGTGACCATGGAGGACATTATGTTGAGTGAAATATCTTAATCACAAAAGGACAAATATTGCATAATGCCACTGTTAGAGAACAGGACTGATATGGGAGTTGGGGGGGAAACAGAAACAAGGGGATAAATAATGTACACAGATTGAAAGAGATGAGGGAGAGAAATGTCTAAAAGGAATATATGATTAGGTATTATTGGCATGACAAGAATCCAGAATAAGAGTTGCGTTGTAATGGTGGGGGCCAACAGGGGACTGTATAACAATAAAAGAACTTTTTTTCCCCAAGTAAAAACAAACTCAGGGGGGAGGGGAGGTAGGTAGGAAAATGTGCAACAATGAATGAATGGAAATCCAAGTTCTTTAAAAACTTTCATTAAAATCGGAGAAAAAAAGAAATTAGATGGAGGGGTAAAAAGAAAAGAAAAAAAAATAATCTCTGTCCCAGGCCCTGCTTTTAGGAAATGACCTGAGTGCTGTCCCAAAAGCTACTGTACCAACATCAACCCATACTACATTACATGTTTTAATTGTGGCAAGAAATGACATCAACAAAGATGGTGGAGGTGTTGGAGGAAGAGTTGTTGTTGTTATGTGTTCACTGAGTTGGAACTGATTCATAACTGACCCTCCAGTGGGTTTTCAGCATGGAAGGAGATTTCCCATCCTTCTCTCACAGTGCATCTAGTGGATTCAAACTGCATGTCTTTGAGATTGAAGAGCAGCTCCTTATACCACTAGGCCAACAGAAAAGAGAGAGCTAAGTGCAAATGTAATGAACACACCTCACGTCCATAGATTGAACTTCTTCAGTAGAATCATCCAGACTGTTTGATTTCCCATCAAGGGCATCCAGTCCTGGAACTGGTTTAAGCCCATTATCAAAACCGTCTCGGGGGAAAGTTTCTGGGGCAGTGCGCCCTACATCATTCACTTCCTGGCAGGTGTTCAATCCACTGATTTCTAATGGAGGACACAAAATTAATGTGTTAATTAGAAAAATATTCAAAGAAAGAAAGAGTGAAGATACACATACATACAGGAATTAATTTGACCCTTTGCTTCAAATCTTTTACTCAAAGCTAACAAATAATCCCATGTAATCGCCCCACAGAGAGGATAGAGGACAAATTACATAATCTGTGACTGCAGGACTCATACAGAAGCTTCATGTCATACACAGCACAGATTTCCCAGGCTCTGAATACCATTTTCTTGAGTTATAAGGCAAAGGAGAAACGTAAAGTGTGACTAAGCTGGAGGCGACATTTCTGACTTTGTCTGCTACAGAATACTACAATCCAACGGATTTTTCCAAAGTGTTTCTGGTGTTGGTAGGTGCCACTGAGTTGACTCCGATGCATAGGAACGACACATGTAACAGACTGAACTCCTGTCCAATCCCGCGCCATCCTCACAATCTCTACTGTACCTAAACCCAAAACTAAAGAAGACCTGATACTTTCAAATTGCGATGCTGGTGGAGAATACTAAATATTCCATGGACTGCCAAAAGAACAATAATGTATTTTGAAAGAAGTGTAGTCAAGGTACTCCTTAGAGCTAAAGACGGAAAGACTTTGTCTCACCTACTTCACCTCACATATATCTTTCAGTTTTTAGAAAAGGATGTTGTTGTTGTTATGTGCCTTCGAGTCGCCTGCGACTCATAGCGACCCTGTGTAGAACAGCCCTAAACTCCGCTCTGTCCTGTGCCAATCGCACTGTCTCTGACGCTCCCATCCCAATTATCCCAGTCACTGAATCA